TAATAATTCCACACTGTGCACACATTTCAAAATATCACCCTGTACCCCATAAATGTATAAAAATATGACTGTCAATTAAAATAATATTAAAAAAGAAAAAATTCTTTAAGAATGTTTATCAATATTCTTCTTGGTTTGTCAAAAGATGCCAAGTAAGGTTGTGTGTAGAGGGGCAAGCCAAACTTATTTTAGACACTGATGTCTTGCCACTCCCATTATAAAATCCCTTTCCTACCTCTTAACACCCTCTGAATGCCAGTGGACCTATGGTCTTCTTGATTTGGTTAGTAGCTCTTGCAATGTCATTAATAATTAAAGAAATAGCTTATATAGCTTAAGGATTAATCTACCCCAAGAGCATTTCTATTACAAATATATTAATCAACAAAACCAAGTCACAATATTTTACTAAGCACTTATGGGCAAGACAGTTGTGTGTGAGTGTGGATGTATGTGCATGTGTGTGTTCAAAAGGACCCCTGGATGTTCAGGGAGCCTTTCTTGATACATAACTCATCACTCAGGCTTTCCCTAAGTGAAATACAGGAAAGTATATTCATCTCCATGGTTAAATGACTTTGCAATATACTGTAAATTCTATCATCTTCTTTGAAAATAAATCACCTATCAAAAGCTATGGGAAGTCCTCCAGAGAAGAAACCTATTAACTTTCTTTAGGCAAATATCCTCCAAATTTATTTCAACTACAAAACCTTTTACTTCTTTAACAACTACTAACCTAGAACCTATCAAAGTGTTGCAGTTTATGCCTTTTCCCATTTATATCAGATCTGTTAACTCTGAGAATCAGTGTTAATACTGAAAATTCAACAAATCTGGATGGAAGTAACAACACAAATAGAAACTATTATTATTTAATAGTCACTTAATGATCCACATTTACAAACAACTAACAACTTTAAATAACTACACTTTTTATTATTTTTTAAAACACAGGACAAGTGACAACAGGTTGATAACTGGTTTTTATGCAAAAACAACCTCCAAAGTATGCCACAACACTGGAAAGTATTCAGCACATTTTCCCACATTTCTTACCTTTAGTTTTCTGTAATAATAAATGCTCAGAATTATAATCCTAATTGCTCCTGAATTATCAAGAAAAGTTTCAAAATGTGTTTAATGAAAATTCACTGATAAATATTTCATTATCTTCTAATGTTGTGAAAACTCAAATTAATTAAAACAAATTATCAGGTAAACAAACATCCCATGCCCTAATTTTGATATATGAAGTTTACTGTTAGGAAAAAAAAGATAAGAAAAGAAGGGATAGAGGGAGAGTGGAGTGAGTATTAAATAAATTTCATATACACTATAACAAATTTTTTGCCAAGTATAGTAGGAGTCACATTAGGAGTAGGAAGTCCTAACAGGAGCAAGGACAACAGAAGGAGAAAAAAATCTAACATTAAAAAAAAATAATAAAATCTAGCTAGACATTACATACAGCTCATCCCTGTATGTAAAATGCAAAAATAAATAAATAAATAAATAAATACAACTAGCAAGTTTTCTAAATAATTCCATTGTATTTAGGATAAAATAATACAAATTGAAGCCAAAAAGTTAACATTGAGAACTATATGGGGGCTATACTTTCAATTTACATTAATCTATCATATTTCATAGGTTCAAAGTTCAATGTACATATTAGTTTGCTCAACTGAGTGATTTTCCATTTTAGCTTAACTTAAAATTGTCCTTAGTTGATCACTTGTGTGGCTTCTCATTTCTGAAAGGTTTCAATTAGAGATATATTTTTGGCCTGGCGCGGTGGCTCATGCCTGTAACCCACTTGCTTGGGAGGCTGAGGCACGAGAATAGCTTGAACCTGGGAGGTGCAGGTTGCAGTGAGCCAAGATCGCGCCATGGCACTCCAGCCTGGGCAACAGAGCAAGATAAAAAGCAAAGATATATTTCGACAAAACGCAAAACTGAAAAGTTTCATATGAACATTTATCATTACTATTCTCATTATGTATCTGTACTTAGTATCCTCACCTTGGTTAAAAAAAAAACTAAAAATAGTATGCTGATTTTATCAGCTACAAAGAAAATTAATGATGCATTCCACACTGAGTCACAAAAAGCACACAATGTGGAATAAGAGGACCTAAATGTGATTTCCGTCTCCTCCACTCTTTATACAACTTTAAGCAAGCTCCTTTAACTTTCTCAACCTGTTATAACATTGGTTAACGGGGCTATCACCTACCTCAGTGTTGAGATGTAAAGAATCTAATCACATAGTACAATTCACCACTTTCTGAGCATAGTAAATGCTTGCTGAGCATGACTAATATAAAGACAGGAGAATCTTTCATAGCACAGCTCATCACTACACATTTTGAGACCTAACATGAATTAAATCACATCTCCTAAAATCTGCTGATCTAAATCAGCAATGTCTACCAGAAGCAATAAAAAGGAAGTCTCACACTAATTTTTTAGTAACCAATTTTGAGTGAAATTTTATATCTAAAATATCTCAAAATAATACTAGTTTACGAGGCTTAGAAGCCTTGTTTAAAAAATGAAAAGGAAAAAAAGCTAAGGTAAAGCAGAAAGTTTTTTCAAGTAACCATTTTCAGTTTACTCACAATATTCAGACAAGGAAGTACAATAGCATGTTTTCAAATCTGTCAAGAGAGCTGAAAACTACTTGAGAGGCAACCGAGCAAAATGGTCAGAGCTCTCTACTGAGAGGAGATGAGATTCCAATTTCAACTGTCACTAATATTTAATAATTGACCTTGGACAAGAGTCTCTGTGCTTCAGTTTCCTAATTTATAAACGACTACTGAAAACTATAGAGAAGACTTTAGTACAATTTAATCTGGGCCTTATTTTGGCGAGGCAATCTAGAAAAGTTAATAGAATGGGCTAGGTAGCAACTGCCAAGGTTGGAATCCTGGTACTGTCACTTATAAGCTGCGCAGTTTTCCCACAAAAAGCACTAAAGTGCAATTTACTTAATACTATCATTGATTTACCGTTTTAAATATTTCCCTAAAACACAAAATTGCATTAAAATACAGAAGCTGAGAAAGTTCCATCTTTCCAAATCATTTTACTGGCAGACACAGAGGTAGTTCATCTGAAAATATTAAAACTCTAAAACATGTTAACATAAGCCAAGTTTAATTAAAAGATTATATCACATGGGCCGGGCGCGGTGGCTCAAGCCTGTAATCCCAGCACTTTGGGAGGCCGAGACGGGCGGATCACGAGGTCAGGAGATCAAGACCATCCTGGCTAACTCGGTGAAACCCCGTCTCTACTAAAAAAAAAATACAAAAATCTAGCCGGGCGAGGTGGCGGGCGCCTGTAGTCCCAGCTACTCGGGAGGCTGAGGCAGGAGAATGGCGTGAACCCGGGAGGCGGAGCTTGCAGTGAGCTGAGATCCGGCCACTGCACTCCAGCCTGGGCGACAGAGCGAAACTCCGCCTCAAAAAAAAAAAAAAAAAAAAAAAAAATTATATCACATCATATTACACATTAGAGACAACACTAAACACTTATAAGGTTAACTGTTCCCATCAAAATATCACACTTAAGGTAAAAATGAAACTTCTGCTACTTACAGGTTTTTTTCTAATCTATTACTGCTAATCACAACACAAACTTACGATATAACCATAATCTCCAAGAATGAAATTAACTCCAAGAACGATAAATCTGTAGAATTAAAAAATATAAAGTGAACTTCAAACAACTAAAAATACGTTCTGTAGAAGTTACAATCAACCAATAAGTATTTATCATATGCCAGGCTCTGTGTTTAGATTAAGTACAAACAGCAAAGTATAAAGTTCCTTAAAGTTAGTCAAGTTCCAAGGACTTGAAATTTCAGGCAAGTACGTGCTTTATCATCACTTTTCACAAAACAAAAGCCACTCACCTACAAATGTTTGTATTTCCTTTTTGGACCATGTAGGAATACTTCCCATTGCCCACTAAAATTGTTTCCTATTCTCAGTTCAGCCCATAAAAATGCCCAATCCAGTCAGTTCCTCACGTCAGGATCCTCACAGTACTTAAAGTGAACGGCTTTGAAAAAGGTATTTCATCAAATCACAAGGTTCAGTATTTTATGTTCAGTGACACCTACACCTGCAGATGCTACAACACATAACTGGGCTAACCTGGGTCAAGTACCTAGTTGCACCAATTTATTTCTTCCCCTTAAAGTGTTGGTAGTAAAGGCAAACTCTACTTCTTCAAAAAGTCGGCTTTTTGCAATGCCCATTAGGCACAGAAAAGGGAAATTGATTGGTTCGTCATAGTTGCCCTACTTCCATTTCAGGTCCAAGTAAAAAAACTATTCCATAGAGAGTAAAAGGGGGCCACACGCAAATCAAGGAAGCAGATGCTAAACTCAACTTTGTGATGACCACGATTTAAGCGAAAGGTGATGGGTGTGGGGGAGGGGATGACACAACTGAGCCATACAAGTGCAGCTTGAGATAAAAAGTCCACTTCATGAAGCAGTCAAAGTAGGCGGTGGGAAACAAACCGGGTCGGGCCGAGCAACAACCCCAGGTTGCTGACCGAGCTCGGAGGCGGAGGGCCCTGAAGCTCAGGGACCGGAGAAAGGAGACCTCGGGCAAACCACAGGATAACAAGAACCAGCAGTAATGTGGAAAGGCCAACGCTCCCACAGAGTAGCGTATAAGGGGACAGAAGAAGGGAGCGATGAATTAGAAGGGAGTGACAGCAGGAGGGAGACCAGTGCCGGGGCGAGTGGCAAGTGGCAACTGCGAAAGGCGAGGCACGGGCAGCCGGAGGTGGTGGGACTCTGTTGAGTCAGCACAGTTCCTACTCTGGGGGCACTTGTAGGATCCCCGCCGCTCCTGGGCCCTGGAGCCCGCGGCGAAGGGTCAGGCCCACCTTCCGGAGAGATGATGTTCTCTGACGGGCTGGCGCCGGCCCCTTCCCCATTTCACAGGTAAACACTGGCCACCGTCGCCGCTTACCTCAGTTAGCATTATTACACCCCGGGGAAGTGAGGTCCTTCCTAGCCTCGCCTCATGGCAACAGCCGTAGCAGCAGCGAAAACTGCTCGGGCCGCTGCCAACGGCGGCAACTGCTCCTTCAGTCCTCTCCCGGGCGGCGGCTTTACTCGGCTTCGCTGGCTTCCCCCCGGCCCGGTCGCTTGCGACGGACGCGCCGCCATCTTGGAAGAGCGACGCCCGCGTCTCGCTGCAACGTGCGCTCCCATTGGCAGGCGCAGGGGCTGCCGGCGTCTCGTGACCGTCTCCATAGCGCCGGCGCGCGGAAAAGCGGAGGCGGGCGCTCGGCAGTCGACTTGGAGTTGATAGTCGGCTTGGCGGTGGCTTGGAGGACCCCGGGACAGGGTGCCTGGGCCAACTTGGGACCACTGGGAGTGCAGAGGGGCCCCAGCGCCCTAACCTCCTGGGAACAGACGTGCGCGCCCTTGGGGCCGGCGCATCCTTCGCCGCCCACTAGCGTTGGCTGGCCCTGGGGAGGGGAGAGAATGCGAGAGGCCGACACTTCCGACTGATGGCCCTGCTGCTAGTCTCGGCGACCAGGCGGCAGATTTCCTGTAGAAAAACTTCCCTCTCGCGTCTCCCTGGCCCCGCGGCGACCGAAGAGCTGGGGTTCGGCTTTCTTCTGGGATTTAAGTGTTTCTTGAAACAGCTCCCTACGCGACCCTTTTCTCTTAAACTTTGACAGAAACTTTCCTTTGTCCCTACCAATCCTCAGTGAGTTCTTTACAGGGGTCCGAGACAGGTTGTAGATATGATACGGCTTATCGGCTTTACCCCGATCCTAGCAGAGTTAGGACTGTCGCTGATGTGATTGGCCAGCACCTGCCTAACAATGAAGGTTTAGTTATGCTACAAGTAAGACGCCTCTAAAAAAATGTAAAACAGGCTTTACGTTTTACCTGCTATCTCCACAGGTTTACTGGTTTTTTAATACAATATGTTTGTATATCAAGGTGAGCAAATTTCAGCAAATGTCGTTGTAAATAGTCCCAACTTAAATGGAATTGAACTCTAGAAGTCAATGTACATAGAAGTCCCTGAGGCTGACGCCATTCTAGATCTACCACTAGATGGTTTGCGATGTACGGAATTAAAGGCAGTCACTTCTACCTGAATTGTGATGAAAGTAGTTTACCTGAACATGCTGGGAAAGTGTGCTACCCTGTTTTATATTAGAAACCAGTTTCCAAATAAATTGAAAAGTAAATTTTCAGATTTGACATTAAAAACACCTCCATGTCATTCTTACAAGAGGTACAAAAGCTTTTTAGAAAACTAAAGCGAGGAGTTTCTTCCCTTTTACCAGAATCTTTTCCCTCCATTTAACAGTACTATTGTGCTAAATGAAATTTACTTAATACATTACTCTTATATTCTGAAAACAATAAGGGCATTACAAACCTTGTATTATCTCTATTGTGTCAAGGAAACAGTTCATTTAAGCAGTCATGCAAAAAATTCAAGAAAAATGATTTTGCTCAATTCAACTAATTGAAGCAAAGTAGTTTTTGTTTTAATCTGCATTTTGTACATCATTTCCACATTGCTAAACCAGCAAAATTCTGACCTCTGCAATACAATAAAATGTGTTACTGATACTGACAGATTACGCCACGAATAGAAAATTAGCATGGAAATCCTACCTGGACTGAGGTATCAAAGGAAACCAAGAGGTACTAGAGACAACAAGGAACCTGGAAAAAGATAGTGTTCCAACCTGTAAATAAGAAAAGAGAGAAGGAGGCTCATGAATATTTAAGATACCAGCTAGTGAATTAAAACTGCAACGTAGTTGTCTGGCTTGAGTGTTCAGTTTTATTCACTACATCTTTTTAGTAGAAGCAAGGCAATTCACTTATTTTAAAGGTAGTAAATTAAGTGTTGACACTTGAGGTTTGAACCAATCTGTGATGTGACAGAAAGATGCCTTTAACATTCAGAAGTTTGTCTACAGACTTAAGAGGAAACCAAAAGTATTAGCTCTTCCAATGGCTTCCTAATTTTCTCAGCCAGAGTCTTTTCTGCAACCTAAAAATTCAATGCTAGCTGGCCTCACAAGTCCTACCTCACCTCCACCCCTCTGACCTCATTTCTGCTATGCACTTTGTTCCAGCTACACAGACCTGCTCCCTGCTTCTATAACACCAAAGCATCTCCTTGCCCTGAGTCCCTTGCACTGTGTATAGTTTCTCTCTGGAAAGATCTTTCCACCAAATACCTGCATGGCTAGATCTTCCAATTCTGTCCAATCTTTGCTTAAAAGTCATCTTTTTTCAAAGAAGCCTACCCTAATCATCTCATTTAAAATATTGCCCCTTCCCCAGAATCCTCCCTTCCTTCCTTCTGTTTTTTTCATAGTACTTACCTTCTAACACCATCATTTTCTATTTTTATTTTCTATTGCCTTCCCTCCACTAGAAAGTTAGCTCCACAAGATCGGGGATTTTTTTTTTCATTTTGTTGAATGTTTTCTTAGTACCTAAAATACTCAAATAGTAGATAGCACAGAGTAGATGCTCAATAAATATTTCTTAAGTGAATAAATGAATGGATGAATGATTGCCTAAAAGACACCAAAAGGAAAAGACCTAATTAAAACTGTTTAAAAAACAAAATCCTTGGTGTTGAAAGATTAAATTATTTAAAAATTGGCCATTGTGTGTTCTCTTCCAATTAATAGGAACATCACTTCTGCCACTAGAATGTTAAAAGTGTGTGACAGGCTGGGCGCAGTGGCCCCAGCACTTTGGGAGGCCAAGGTGGGCGGATCACGAGGTCAGGAGATCGAGACCATCCTGGCTAAGACGGTGAAACCCCCTCTCTACTACAAATACAAAAAATTAGCCGGGCGTGGTGGCGGGTGCCTGTAGTCCCAGCTACTCGGGAGGCTGAGGCAGGAGAATGGCATAAACCCGGGAGGTGGAGCTTGCAGTGAGCCGAGATCGCGCCACTGCACTCCAGCCTGGGCGAGAGTGAGACTCCATCTCAAAAAAAAAAACCAAAAAAGTGTGTGACAATTGTTACTTCCACTAGAATGCTACAGAAAACTTTATGACAAAATTGTGAGCTATGCCTTTTCCTTCACCTTTTTTCTCTTCTATTTTTTTTAAATTTTTGTAGAGATGTGTTCTATGTTGCCAGACTAGTCTCTGGACTCCTGGCCTCAAGGATCCTCAGGCTTTGACCTCTGAAAGTGCTGAGATTGCAGGCATGAGCCACCACACCTGACCTCCTTCACTTTCTTAAATACATCTTGGGCATGAGTCAAAGTTAATTTGCTGGTAAGGGAAGCAACAAAGCGATTAAGGTATACTATATAAGAGAGTTATGGAAATTAAGGAGTTATATAGTTGGAAAAGAGAATGCTTATAGACACAACTGGCTTTAAAAAAAAAAAGCACCTAATTTGATACAGATTCAATGTCTTAAAACCATCCTATTCCTATCAGTTGTTACAGAGGAAACGTGGGACAGGGTGATCTGAAATGCCTGGTTCTTTGGCTATCAGAAATTAAAACAAAGCAAGCTATCTTAAGAAGCACGTGATGAGGATGCATCTGTGACTATTACTGCAAAAGGTTTGATTCCTCAACAGCCGTGTCCAATCTGTCTGATTAACACAGGAAAGCATGACAAAAAGAGGTAAGAGGCAAAAATCGAGTGTAAGATGTTTTTAAACAAGCCACTGCCAGTGATTTCTAAACCTACAAGCAAAGATTCGGAATATCCAAGTTGCCTGTTTTTTAATTTTGAAACAAAAACAATTTCTTCTACATATTCAGGTTGTCACCAGTTGGCTCTAATTGCTTTTTGAGAAACAGGAAAAGTATGTCTTTGACCTCCCAGGCAAATTGCATCTAGCAAGCAGTTATCTCTTTTAATCTTTTGATGTCTTAAAGCATTCTGTTAACTCCAGTTTCTTCATAATGCAATATTATCAGTGTCATCTGCCATCTCCACTGAACATTAAATACTATATACTCATTAACAAGGACTGGTGTCAAAGCCTGCAAATTGGTATTGAAATAATGCATTGACAACAGAGAAGATATCCTAAGAACAGGTAAGAGTTGGATATCCTCATTCTTTTTACAGCTTTAATAGGGCAGTAGCAAGCAGAAATCTCAGAGCATTTAAGAGTACTCTAAAGTCTAGCCCAGCATGTGCTTTTTTCTTGCATGATACTTTTTGAGGCAATTTTGAGCCAACTCAAGACAGAAAGACAGAAGCAGAAATAATATGAGGCTTTACTAACAAATACAGCCATAACAAAATAATAATGTACACAAATGTCTTCAATATTAGCTCTGCAATGCAAAGATCTAAATAGAAAGAACCGCATTATAAATTTGTAAAAGTCTACAAAATAATTAAGAGGTGTTACTACATCCGTGACACCTCAGTCAGTCATTTTGAAAACAAAAATTTAGAGCCCTTTTCAAACATTTAATTCTTAATTATGGATACTGTTTTTCAGTATCTATTATGGGCCAGGCACTGGTAGTAGACATTTTGCATGTATTATATTTAACATTTGAAAAAGACCATTACAGTAGATCTTACTACCCTTAGAAGCCACTAGAGGTTTAGTAATTTACTATTTCCTTTTAATATACTCCCATCAATGTGGTATGGTTTTTCGTTTGGTTAGTTTTGTTTTCAAGCACATGCTTACTTTCTAGTAGTATAAGATGCCCTGGGGTCATCATGCCCCAGGTCTAGAATCAGCCATATGTTTCAGAAATCTTGGTTTCTTTTGTTGGAGAATGGTGTCAGAAACCAAAATCTAGGCTCAAGAAGTGCTATTTGCTGCTTGGGTGTCATTTCTTTTAAGACCTGGTAGCTGACAGAGCAAGGAATTAACTACTTGTATACTAACCCTTGTATATATACCTGTGTATAAATATTTCAGCATGTAATCATTTGTATTTATATTAAGCTAAACATGAATTCATACAGGTATCCAACTCTAATCCATTATCAGATGGATCATTCTAGTCTCTTCCCCTTGCTTATCTGTATGTAATTTCCACTTCGACAGTGAGAAACCTGACACCTAACATCTACCATCCATTTACTTAATTGTTCAGTTTCAAAATACATATATAGCAATTTCAGAATTGTTAACCCATACCCCCATGGGAAACAAATTTATCAACTAGAGTACATTGCCTATGTGCAGTTCCTTCAGTA